GACAAGGATATATATATTTAAAGAAAATAAATAATTTATATAAAATTCTACCACAAATTACGTAATAAAATTCAAATTACAAATTACCTAATAAAATTCAAATATATACTATTATATATATATATATATATTATTTTTTAACTATTACCTAACAAAATTTAAATTACAAATTACCCAAAAAAATTTATTACTTTGCAAAACTCAAACTCTACCACCAATTTCAGTATTAAAATAAATTTTTTATTATTTAATAAAAAAATAAAATATAAATATTTTAGTATTAAAATAAAAACCTAAAATAATTTATTACTTCACAAAACTCAAAATCTACTACTAATTTCAAAATATTTCAGTATTTATTTATTAATATTAAAAAATATTTATTAATTAATATAAAAAGAGTTACAAAAAAATTGCCATTTTTTGTAAGGTTTATTATTACAAGCTTCAAATCAACAATAAAAAGTATATATATATGAAAACAAAAATTTTAAATTACAAAATATTAACCACGTACATCGCACGTGCCTTTTCTTAATGTGTGTATGTGTATGTATATATATATGTGTGTGTGTGTGTGAGTAGTGACTCTCCGTAAAGCAAAAAAATTCTTGTACACTTTCTATAATGACCATTACATTAAATCTTGTGGTCACATTATAAACTCACCTATATGTTTTCCTTTTATTAGAAAATCACTATCACTATTTCTAGTTTATAAATTTAATATTTACCAATATCACTCATTACAACAATAAAAGGTAAGTATCAAACAAATAAAAATAGAAATCACTTCACCTCTGGACGTCTCACCGCCACTAATCTGAATTTTTGTTTTTTTTGATGTCTTTGTTGTAACTTTATTACTTACCAAAAAAAAAATGATGATAGTGAAAACAAAAATAACGATAATATAATAATAGTCGTATTAAAGAAAATATTAAGAAAAATAACTAATTTACAAAGAAAATATGATAATATAATAATAGCGTGTTTTATCGTGAATCTCCTCATTAATTAGAATTTGGAATAAAATAAAACAAAATTAATAAGAAAGAGAGACAATTTGTGACAAACAGTTAGAGAAAAATAGATTGAATTTTTAATTTTTAAATAGCATGCATTTAGGGAGGTATACAATAATTTAAATTATAATCTATTAAATTTTTTATGGGTGAAGTGTTGTGTAAATTGCAGGTTACCTTAAGTTGATCAAGTGGATAAAAAAATAGATATTTTATTTTTAATTTATTATTATTTTTTAGTCAATGTTTCATATGTCAACAGTGTAATTTTAATTTCTTTTTCACACTCAAACAAATAGGCAATGTCAACTTTAGTATCAAGTCATGGATGTAATTTTCTAACACTTATAATTTTTTTTTTTTAAAGAAAACAAAATTCCGATTAGTGGTGAGATGTGATTTACAGAGGTAAATTTTTTTTATTTTTTAGTACTTACCTTTTATTGTTATAATTAATAGTATTGGTAAATATTAAATTTGAAACTAGAAATAGTGATAGTGGTTTTGTATTAAAAGGAAAACATATAGGTGGGTTTAGAATGTGACTATTAGGTTTAATCTCATGGTCATTGTAAAAAGTATGGAATAAATTTCTCACTCCATGGGAAACATTCTATATATATATATATATATATATATATATATATATATATATATATATGCGTGAAAAAGAATATATAAGTTGAGATAATATTCCATAAAGAAAGAAAGAAAGAAAAAAAAAATTATTTTGTTTGTTACAACTTACAAGGGATACTTGTTCCCCATCGAATTCGGATGGAAACTGAAATGGGTATAAATGGGTGCATATGCAATATTACTTAATAACTTAAATTTTTAAATAAATGAGTAAGCGTCCATCCGTCACACCTTTTAAGAACAATGCGTCCTTTCTTTTAAGGTAAATTGCAAAAAAAATCTTTGAACTATTAATTTGTTGTAATTAAGAATAAACTCATTACAAAAGACTATTGTGCTTTTTATCATTAAAATTGTCATTTCTTATTAAATTAAATTTATTATCTTTTCTCTTATCTAAATTTTAATTTTACTATTTATCTTAATTTTATTATAACTATCAATTTATCATCATAATGAAAAAAATATTTATAAATACTTTTGTAATTACCATTTTCTATAATGATTAACTTATTATTAAAGTTTTATTATTTATAATAAAACTTATTATAACTAGTTAATTTTTTTTTTTAACTATAGACAAATATTTTCTTTTTCATATAATATATTGATAAAAAATTAATAAATTACTTAAATAAAAATAACTTCTTTTTCATGTAATATATTCATGAAAAATCAAATCATTAATTAATTAATTTTTTTTATAAAAATTTCTACTGAAGATTTTTATTTAAACAATAAAAAATTAAAGATAAATTTATGCAAATTTAATGGAGAACATGTCATCAAATTAATATGAATTATTTTTCATAATTTATTTTAATAAGAAAAATATATTAAGTGTATTTCAATAAATAAAAAAAGGAGCATTATGATCATTTAACGAAATATAGTATAATTATTGAGATATTTTGCAACAAAATATGATAATTTAGGAAGTATTATGTACAAAATATAGTTCAGAAGAATTTTTTTTATACTTTACCCTTTCTTTTATTATCAATTGAGGTGTGAGTACATTTAAAATTAAAGTGTAAATTTCACTTTCTAATGCTCTTTCGAAAAATTATAATAACTAATAGTTTTATCATTTTGGGACCATGGGGACCTAATAGTCAATAGAAAACTGCTTTCTTTGACCATATGATGGCCGAATAAACCGTGCAAGCAAACGAAGGAAACAAAGTAAAAAAATAAAAAATAAAGTTAAATTGCACAGGCCTCTCCTACAATTCGTTATAATTACAAGATTTTTTATTGTGATTTAAGAAATTACTTAGACCCTTTTTAAAAATGAAACTAATCAAATGTTAAGAATTCTCTTCATATCGATTGATTCTTAAATACATTAAAAGATTTGTCTAATTTACTGAAATGTTCTTAAATTGTTATGGTAAATGACTGTAATATCCATTTGTATATGAGAAAGAAGAGATGGATGAAGAGTAATATGAGAATTTTAACAAAAAAGAGATGCACGTAAATTATTCAAAAAAGAAAAAGAAAAAAAAGAATATATATATATATATATATATTACCATAGTACATTTTACTAGTAAGAGATAAGAATAAAGTAAAGTCACGGCAAGTTTTCAAAATATCTGTGGATGATAATTTAGTTAACAAAAAAAATCAGATGTAATTCTTCTGTGTTTGTCAGGACAACCCAAAAAAAAAGAAAAGAAAAGAAAAGATAAGATAATTTAGAATTGGGTAAAGTGTACTAAACTTCCTTGAAATATAACTCAATTGTAAAAAACTCCCCTATCATCCGTCAAGTAGTGTTAACGAAAAATGAAATGACCATTTAGCCCTTACTTGAACGGCGTCGTATTGATTTTATTTTGTTGTTTGGAAGCTGACGTGGCTATGTAATCTCCAGAGCTAATAAAGAAGTGACACCTAGCCAAAGTAACCTTATCAGTAACATCGACTGTATCAAAATGGCGCCAAACAACGACTGAGCAACAATTTATAGCGCCAAACATGTCCTCCCAACAAACAACTCTCATCCCAATCATGCCAATAGTTTAACAATGTATGTCAGAATGTATATATTTAAAAGACTCAATTCATGCATATATATTTATCTATATATATAGAGAGAGGGAGATTCTGTTAAGCTCATTCCATATATATATCGCTCACGGTATATATATATATATATATATTTATGTATTTGTAACTCACTCTATATATATGTGTGTGTGAAGCTGAGGCTCTCACTTGTTGGGTAGCTGATATATCAATGAAGCTCACCAGTTGATGTGTACAAGAATTAAGCTCAGCGGTTGCTTTTGCGGTTTGGGTCTCGTCTTGGTCTTCAATAGAGAAACATGGCTCACATTCAGTTGGGTCTCGGAAGTGAGAACTGTAAAGCTCACCAGAACTGCTCTGAAACCTTTACTCCTTGTTGGAGCTCACCAGACTGCTGGGCTTCGCCAAAGTGGGTTATGGTAGCTTGGAGCTTGTCGTTGGGTCTGTTCAAAGTTGAGCTTCTCACCGGTTATGATGTTAGCCGACTTCAATGGATTTGGATCAACAAAACTTCGCTGTCTTAATTACGCTGCAACTTGGGGCTCGCTGGTTTCAATGGACATTGCTGCTCGGAGCTTGCTGGAACGGATGGGTCGTTGTAGATCTTCAATTGAATTCATCTCCAGTTTGCCCAGTGATGATTAGAGCTTCTCACCGGAGTTCATGGATGCCGATTGGGTCACTGAAACTCTCTCTTCGCGGGTTGGGTCTGTTGGTTCAACGACAACCGCCTAGAAATGCAGATTTGAGAGCAAATGAGAGGGAATTGTTGAAAATCAATGACGAACGACAGAGGATTTGTTGAGACTGAATGTTAGGGCTTTGTATTTTAGGGAATTGTCTGATTCGAATGTGTGTATCTCTGATGAATACATATAAAAGGTCAATATATAATAGTCATAAGGGTATATATGGTATTTTAAATTTTAACCAACACACATGGATCACGTGCCTCAACTCACCGTTAATTCTCAGACGGCAAACTAACAGAATTTGATTATTTGTAACAAATGAAATAGTTTAAAAGGTTAAATATATTTTTTAAAGTTGAGGGCGGTTTATTGAGAAAGTGAAAAAATTTTAGAGGGTTCAGTGCACTTTACCCTTTAGAATAAAAACAGAGAGAATAAAATTAACTGGACGAGGATTGTGCAGTGGTGGTGGCAGTGGGCCTGGACCTACTAATAGACTACTAGTGTTGTGACAAAGGAAGGGAAGGCCACATCAATAATGATAGTATGACGTCAGAATATCAATAGTATCAATAATAGATTTTGTCTATAAATGGATAGATATGAGTAGATATGGAAAGGGTGAGACCCTCTCATTTACAATCTGTGTGGTCTCTAGATTGTGAATTGTGAAGATGGGAAAGGCATTGTTGTTGTTTTTGCTTGTAATTGGTGTGTTGGTTATAGGGTGTGTAGGTTCTTCGCCGGAGAGTAGTGCCGGAGGGCTTAGAAGAGAGAGCTTTCCGAAGGGGTTCGTGTTCGGAACGGCGACGTCTGCATATCAAGTTGAAGGCATGGCCGACAAGGACGGTCGAGGACCCAGTATCTGGGACGTCTTCCTCAAAATTCCTGGTATGTTTTACTACCTTTTTATTTATTTTTAATTAAATTACCAATTTACCATTGCTCAATGTCCTTGTTGGCCATGCCTTCAACTTGATACAGGGCTTGAAATCAATAATGCTAGTGGAGAAGTTACTGTTGACCAGTATCACCGTTACAAGGTAAGCTTAGCTTTTCTTTTTCTTCCTGGCTAAATTTACTATGCAAATTTTTCTGGTTAGTTCCAACAAAAATATATACAAAACGATTATATAAACTAAAATTTTCATCTGCATTGAATATTTTTTTTAAGCCACCATAATTTTTCAATTAAATTCTTTTGCCCTTTCCAAAGCTAGTAACTCTAGAAAGGATTAGATGGCAGAAAAGCAATTTGGAGATTGTTGCACATCGAAAGTATAAAAGTTTTAGGACAAAATTATCCTCACTGAACATGTATATGGGCTCTCTCTTCCCAACAAATTACTACACCCCTCTCTAATCATCTATCCAAATCCACCATCAATACTGTATTGCTCGCTCTGCAACCAGCACAGTTGAGACAAAAAACAGGAATTGTTAATCTCATAAAAATCGCACACATGTAATTTACATGTATATACACAAAACCTAGAGTTAGGGCTTGAAACTTTTTCATGGAGAAAGATGAAGAAACTTCATTATAAATCTTGCGTTAAGAAGTCAAAGATTTAAGAATTGATGAGAAATAGTTAGAAACCGAAGAGTTGCTGCTCAGTCTCTTTCCGAGTGATTCTTCGCAGAGCCAGGAACGAGAAACCGGTGGCGGAGAGGGACAAGATCAGCATTCAAAAAGTATTCATCTCTGGCACTGACCAAATTAATATGAGATATTGGGATTTACGAATTTGAGTTTGGAGGTTGTAGAGAGAGAGAGAGAGAGAAGAAAGAGAAGAGAGTCCATCTGCAACTTGTTTTGGAGTTTATGAATCCATGGGATGCTATTGCTAAAATGGGTGATGAGAGAGAGAGAGAGAGAGAGAGAGAGAGAGAGTGGGGGCGGCTGGATGTGAAGCAGAAAAAGATGAATGATCGGAGAGAGGGCAGAGGACAGAGACAAAATATAATGAATATAAGAGAAGACAGATACAAAAGGCAAGAAAATTGTAAGTCTTTGCTTTGATTACTTTGACAAATTTTTAAAGGTCTAACTTGGTGTGCTTTAGAAATTTGTCAAAATAATTGGTTCAATTATTATGTTTTCTTTCACAAATCACGTCGGTGTATTTTAAAAATCTGTCAAAGTAATCGGTTCAACTATTATGTTTTCTTTCACAAAAACGTGCCTACCTTTCTAGTTTTGGTTCTTTCAAAATAATTGTGCCAATTCAAAATTTGATATACTACTCCCTCTGTTCTATATTAGATGTCATTTTGTGGAGTAATTTTTTTTTAAGGAGAAGTGTAATTATTGCATTGTCACATTTAAAAATTACTAAGTTATCTTTCAAGTTTGAATATATATACATAATTAAGTTTGATTTTTTTTTTTTTTTAAACTTCAAGGGTATTTTCCACATAATTAAGTATGTGAAAAATGCTATATGAACTTAAAAAATGGACAATTATTTTGGGACAATTCAAAAAGAAAGATCGACAACTGAATTGGGACCGAAGGAGTATATTTTTAATATTGCTAATATACTCTCCTTACTTTAGAGTTATAAAAGCAATTTAAGTCGTATAAACTCACCATAAAAGAATATATTGGAAATTTCATTTCCTACCATAATAATAAACATTAAAAACTATACTCTTAAATAAACTTAATATTTCATATAGTGCCTTTGGAACTAAGAAATTTAATTAGAAACCAAGTGATTGTATTGAAAGATTTATTTACGGTGTTTGGGATGTTGTGCAAAATTTCATAATGGAATTAGATTTGGATAAATGTGAGCCTCTTTTGAAATTACTCCTACCCAATTGGACTTTTGACAAAGAATACTGTTTATTTTACCAAATTGTTCTTGTTTTTTGTTAGAAGCAAATAGGACAACCAAATGATTGCTATTTTTGTAGAACTAGTCTAATATTCAACAGCAAAAAGAGAGTTGATGTGACATATTTTTTTCTTTTTTTTTTTTGGTTTAGGTAACATACTGGGACAAATGTTCACAACAGGACTCCAACCTCTCACTTCTCCCAAGAGACATCCTGTTGTGTCCCTTTTCCCCTTTTCAAATGGTTTGTCCCAAAACATAACATTACTATGGTTCGGAGAAGTGGGACATTTTGTTTCAAGAAAAAAAAAAATCCAATGTGACCAAGCATATGAAATGCTTAGTTCATGGTCCATTAATCCATTAAACTACTTAATTTATTTTTATTAACAAATATATTAGGAAAAATGTTAATCAGACTCTTACTTCTTAAAGGAAGGTCGAGGGATTCGAGCCTTAGGGGAGACATTTGTGTGAGAGTACCAATTAAGAAATATATATATATATATATATATATTTATATTAGGAAAAATCTCATTCAAGCCAAGTATGTGGAATGCTTAGTTCTCTTCTCTTATGACAGGAAGATATTGATCTCATGGTAAAGTTGAACTTTGATGCCTACCGTTTCTCAATTTCATGGTCCCGGATATTCCCAAGTAATTAGTTCCACAACATTTTTCTCTATTGAGTCTTTTAAATTTATCATTCACATTGTCTATATATATGCAAGTCTTTTTGTAATTCACTTGTTTGATATAGATGGAACTGGAAAGGTAAATAAGAAGGGAGTTGCTTACTACAATAGGTTGATCAACTACATGCTCAAAAGAGGTAACTCGTTATCTTCTTCTTTTTTCCTTTATTTATTTTTTTATTTTTTCATTTATTAAGATAATTGAGAATACACTCTGATACAGCACATTTGTTGTTGTATTTAAAGTACTAGGCCTTCACACTGGGACAATACGATAATTGCACCAGTTAGGGCCCTTAGGGGTTACTATCAAATGTGTTTCCATTAATCAGATCGGGTTCGGCTCATTAAGAGCTTGGTTCGTATTTGTTTTCTTAGTAAACAAACCAAATTCAAATAAGATTTTCAAGCTCGTTTAATAAACGAACCAATCTCAAACAGGCTCCGAGAAATGTTGTTGAAGGGACAGATTGACCACAAACTAAAATTTTGCACTATTTACTTTGTGTTTCCTCATATATATTAGAATCTGCGGTCTTGCACTTGGTACCTCAAAGTTTCTACTACTGCACCACGATGAAATTCCTTGCTTTATGTGATTTTGATACGCAGGCATCACCCCTTATGCGAATCTTAATCATTACGATCTTCCTGAAGCTCTCCAGAAGAGGTACATGGGATGGTTGAGCCATAAAGTAGTGTAAGTATAACAACAAACTATAGCTTTTTATTCCATATAGTTTCAACATTTTCTTCCAAGCAATAATGACAAATGGTTCCAATTCCACAGGAAAGATTTTGCCGATTATGCGGAATTTTGTTTCAAGACATTTGGAGACAGAGTGAAGAATTGGATGACGTTTAACGAACCTAGGGTAATCGCTGCACTTGGGTACGACAATGGGTTTTTTGCACCGGGAAGGTGCTCTAAACCATTTGGAAATTGCACGGCCGGAAATTCTGCAACCGAGCCTTACATTGTAGCCCATAATTTGATCTTATGTCATGCAGATGCAGTTCGAAGATACCGTCAAAAGTATCAAGTAAGCCTCTTTTTTATGTCTATTCAACATCAATCCTTTGGCTTCAACTGGTTTCAGCAAGGACAAAAAAGAGACAGTTTGTCTTAATATTTTTGCATACGATTGCAGGAAAAACAGAAGGGAAGAATTGGCATTCTCTTGGATTTTGTTTGGTATGAACCTCTTACAAGATCAAAGGCCGACAATGATGCAGCTCAAAGAGCAAGAGATTTCCATGTGGGATGGTAAGAATTTAAGAAATCAAAGTTATGATCATCTTATGCCAGGAGGCAACACATTCACTAGAGATTAAAATCCTCTCCTGCGCTACATTATTTCTGTCCCAGTCAGCGAGGAGAATTAGTGATACACGTTACGAAAATGTTGTGACATTTAGCCTTGCATCCCAATATTTTCCTAACGTGCATCACAGTATTCTCCTTACCGGCTGGGTCAGATACACTATAGTGCAGGAGAGGATTTTGATCCCATTCACCAGTCCAAAATAGGTTGAGATAAGTAGTATTGACAATGATGACAAATGCCTCATAAAAAATTATATATGTAGTATTGACAATGATGACAAATGCCTCATAAAAAATTATATATGTACCCTTGGAGACAATTCAATATGGTGAAATTCTCTTTAGATGAGATAATTCAGGTTCCGGGATTCTTTTAAAAAAACATGTGGATTTGGGAAAATATGTGATAAAATAATAAATTGAGGGTGAAAATCAACAATGCTAAAGAAAATACCACTGCTAAAAGTACAATTGTCAAAGCAATCACATTCTCATTCTATATCGAGTCAGGACATTGTGAATTCTACTTTGACTATGTTCGGCTGCATGAAATTTGAGTGTTGGAATTTGAATTGATAGAATTGGAGAAAAGCAACTCACAAAATTGAATTAAAATTTTCTCTAATTCCATACAGACGAACACACCTTTTATGAATTTTTTTATGAATTTGAGTTAGGTGCTACTGAAACGGATATTATGGGGTTCTTGAGTAATTTTTCCAGCTTATTTTGTTTGAGATACCACTGAACGAATGCCATTTGAATTGGAATTAGAGGAAATTTAGTTAAAACTAACGCAACATCATCACATCATCTCTCTTGTTGTTGACACAGGTTCATGCATCCCCTTGTATATGGTGAGTATCCAAGAACAATGCAAGAAATTGTTCGAGATCGGCTGCCCAAGTTCACAAAAGAAGAGGTTGAGATGGTAAAGGGCTCGTTTGATTACGTCGGTATCAATCAATACACTGCTTATTACATGTATCAGACCAAACCAAAAGCCCTGGGCTACCAGCTGGACTGGCATGCTGGATTTGCTTGTATGAGATTTTCTTCCTCTCTGTTTCAACTAGTGAAAGAAATATATTATATTCATTGTTCATGCAAATACATTACTGATATATATATATATATTTTTTTTGCTTGTGAACTTTGCAGATGAACGAAAAGGTGTTCCAATTGGTCCAAGGGTAAATTCTGTGTTGCAACTTCATTTAGGGTGTGTTCGGCTGCATGAAATTGGAATTTGTAATTTCTGAATTTTTTAAAAAAATTCTAGCAATTCCAATTCCATACAGCCAAACACAACCTTGAAGAATTTATTAGAAATCTCATTACCCTTTTGTTTCAAGGCTGATTGCTGGAACTAATGGTTTGCAGGCATATTCTTATTGGCTGTACAATGTACCATGGGGTCTATACAAAGCTGTGACGTACATAAAAGAGCATTATGGGAATCCTACTGTTATTCTGGCTGAAAATGGTATCCTACTCCCTTTCATATTTTAAATCTCATAAATCTGGTATATGAGCTTCTCTGGTGATTTGGTAAATAAGAATATATGTATTCCATTTTATTAGATAAAAATAGCAAGAAAGGAAAGGAATTATTTTAATATTTTTGGAGTTTGGATGGTTGGAAAAGGAAATTTATAAGGAAAAATAATTTTCCATTACCCCATAATTTTTTTTTTAGATAACCCAGGTATCCAAGGCTTTGCCCTGAGTAATCTCTGAATTGAATCCCAGACCTAGTGCTGGAAGGCACACCAAAGCCAAAGTGATTATACAACTAGACCAACCCCTTGGGGTTCATTACCCCATAATTTTTCTACGAATGACAGGAAATTTTTTGATTTACTGAGGAAGTTATATGAATTTACAACAATGTGTTTTTTTTCTATTCTTATAAGCTTCATGCATTCCATATCATGAAATAGTAGTAGTAAAAAAAAAAAAAAAAATCATGTTAACCAAATGCATGTTAGAAAATTTCCTTTCATTAACTTCACTTTCGATTACGTGGCAAACCACTATTAATTTCCTTTTAACCAAAAGGTGTATTATGTGCAGGCATGGATGATCCGGGTAATGTGACACTTTCCAAGGGTTTGCACGATACCACGAGGATCAACTACTACAAGGGGTATTTGACAGCATTGAAGAAGACAGTTGATGAGGGAGCAAATGTGATGGGTTATTTTGCGTGGTCATTGCTTGACAATTTTGAATGGAGATTAGGATACACTTCCAGATTCGGCATTGTTTATGTCGATTTCAAAACCCTCAAGAGGTATCCTAAAATGTCGGCCTATTGGTTCCAGCAATTACTTCGCCGAAACAAGCATTAAGCGAGAGGAAGTGTTGCTTTTTTGTGCGTCTCCAATAAATAATGTCCAACCCAAGGACTTTGTTGTTGTAATGGATTTGTCTGTCCTTCTAGAGTGTTATCTTAATGATTGTTTGGTAAGAAAAACAATCAGAATTTCTGTCATTTTTCTTAAGCAAGATATGATTGTCGGTAAAATATTTAATACCATTAGGGGTAGTAAAATTTGACACTAATATGCTAACATGACTCAGACACGATATGAGATAAGTGAATTTAAATATAGTTTAATTGTGTTTGTGTTATAATTGTGTGGATCAGAATTGACACGGTAATTAAACGTGTTGTGTTTGTGTTTGGTCTGCCAACCGTTTATAATCCGATTGACTAAACGTGATAGATATACGTGTCATTTTAGTATTAAAAATAATACATTTAACTAAATGGGTTGAATAAACGTGTCAAGATTAACTAGCGACCTAGTTCCAAAGGTGTTTGTGTGAAAAATGATTTAAATGTTTCGTCGTGTCAAATTTTGACCCATTTATAAAACGAGTTACATGTGTTATGTTGTGTTATTCATATAATAATTGTCTCGTGTTTGTATCAGGGTTTTTTTTTTTTTACACGAATAATAATCGTGTCATTTTCGTATCGATTCATATAACAGAATACTTATGCTCTGAAACGACACGAACGCGATCCGCTAACACAAACTCTCACCCCTAAATACTTTGTATTCAATAAGTTACCTTTAGTGACTCAATGCTCACATCTACCCTTTTTATAATTTTCTAAATAAATACTGAATTTTATATTAATATTAATTTCTTTTAAATTAGAATAATTCTTAATACTATGAAAGTAAGTACTAATAAATCCGTGTTTTTCTATCAAAAACTTACTAGTAAAGCAAATATTCTTTTAGATTTGGTGATTGATAACAACTACTACTGGTATGTAATATGTCGCCTTCTGAAACCGCCCCCACACCCACCAATAAAAGACATAACTCTAAAAGTACGTATTTGACATAAGAAATAAGAGAAGGTTGTTGAGATTCGCACTCCACCATTGCATTATAAACATATTTGTGTATGGCTCGAGTTTTATCATCGAATGCACTAAAAGTAACAATTATTCCAAAAATAGTATAATTTATTTGTGGATTTGAAATTTAGAAAATAGTTAAATAACATTTTAAACATATTTTAATATTATATTATTATATGCTTTTATATTATTTGTATGTAGAGTTCTTTTTATGATCTTATTTTATAATTAGTTATCAATTTAATTTATTAATTTGACTTTGATTTTTAAAATGTTTATTCTAAAATTAATTTATTTTATATGAAATAAACTTCTCTTTGAATAAGAATTCAAAGAGACAAATAATTATGCTTCATACTCTTCTTCTTCTTCTTATTACTATTATTATTATTATTATTATTACTACTACGCCTTCATACATTGTCTCTAATTCCATGACTCTAATAATACAAATCATAATTTTTATTCATAATTTTTTTTTTTTCAAAATTTGATTTAAAAACAAGATGTGAGTCAACTTGTTAAAAACTCATATAGATTAAGTACCAATAGAAAAAATGAAAATAATAATATTTCTGTTAATTGTATGACTAATAACCATAAAAAGAATATAATAATATTATTAATAAGATAAAAATAAATAATTTTTTATTAAATATAATTTAAAAGGGTTAACAAAATTCTAATTAGACATATTAGGTAATTAAAAAAAAAAAAAAAAAACAAAAGAATTAGACTCACATTTTTTCCGAAAGATGAAACTTGCATTGAAAGAGAGAAGAACACTGACTCTATCTTTTTAATTTGAAGTTTAGAAAATAGTTCTAGCATATTTTAATATTATATTATTATGTACTTTTAAATTACTTGTATGTAAGGCTCTTTTCATGATCTCATTTTATAATTAGTTATTAATTTAATTTATTGATTTGACTATGTTTTTAAAAATATTTATTTAAAAATTAATTTACTTTTTATGAAATAAACTTCTTTTGAATAAGGATTCAAATAAACAAATAATCATACTTCATACTTTATTTCATATTATTACACCTTTATACACCGTCTCTAAACCCATGCCTCTAATACTACAAATCATAAAAAATTTTCATAATTTTTTTTTTTCAAGTTTTGATTTAATAAGTTTATAAAATTATTAATAAATTACCATTATGTGTGATTGTGACATAGACATCAGAGGACCATGAAAACAAATTACCAAAAGTAGCATTAAAGTACTATTATATCCATGATAAAAATCACTCGCAATAGAACAAATTATTGTATGATAGGGTTATATTGAGGGTGTTGAACCTCAAGAACTGTGGTGAATTGTCAAGTGTAAAATTAATTACTAATTTAATTTAGAGAGAAGATTTATTTGTTAGTTTATATCTAAATAATGTAAAAATAAAAATAAACAATGAAAATAAGGATTGAGATCAAGAGAAGAAATACTTAGGGCTTGACTTCACCAAGAATCTCTTAATATGATCAATTGATTCAACCTTAAGAATTTCAATATTTGTGCATGATCAGGAATTAAATGAATTAACATCCAATTTAATTTAATTTTAAGAAGATAAATCATGAATTTAATTAAGCAATAACCTATTTTCAGTTGGCACGAATTGTCTACCTAACTACTATAATCTAGGGTACAGTACATACAACTTGTATCACATAGGCATAGATTATCAAAACATTCATTCATAAAACAGTTTAAGCATTATTGCACGATCATTGTTCAGATTGTTATGAGAAGCCCTTAGCTGCCAATCTCAAACAATAAGAATAGTTCGGATTTGATTAAAGTAAAATCAATTCAAAGATAAGACATTAATTTAATCAAAAATCAAGTTTATTTCATTAAAACTCCAATTGCTTCCTAAGTTTATTTCATTAGATACCGCTCGATTCTAGAGCCATGGGTGATTAAGTCCGAGCACAGATCCGAGGGATACCAAACAATTAAGTATATAAATGAACACATAATACAAAAGAATTTAATAAATAAATAATAAAGCTGAAAGAATTCTAAATTAAAAATCCTTTAAAATTAAATAATTAAAATCCAATAATCCCAAAACCTCTGATATTTAAACAACTCGAGAATCCATCTAGTGGACCCCTAATAAAATCCCAAACTGAAAAACGAATAACTGAAATAAAATCTAAAGCTAAACCATGAAGAGAAATCCTACGTCGACGGAAGAATAAGTAACCGTCTCTGCTCAGCACGAATAAGCTCTAAGACTGTAACCGTCCGATACCTAAAAAATAATAGTGGGTCAGGTCCACGAACAAGTTCTATTCTAATTACAATCCAAACAGAGACCCGATACGCAGATATATCCTAGATAACTCAACAATATCTATCTAGTCCATACATATATTTATCCATACTAAGGGACTCTTACTGGACTACAAAAGGGGTCTCAACCTGAATAGAAGGCAATATGCAAAACGCACCTGAGGTGGGCATGAGTACCTAGACCTAACAGGGTATACCTCTACCATCATAGCCAGTTATGCATCCCAATGCATATATGCTCCTTAACCATTGATCCCGAGACTCAAGCTCATATCGTGGTACCATAATCATATATAGAAAAAATCCTATCCTATTCATCTATAAGAAATCAAGTTAGTCATTCAACTTGTTCAGCTGATTTGACCTAAATATAAGTAGTAAGTAATCCAGTTAGTCATTTAACTTGTTCATCTGATCTGACTTAAATATAAGTAGGATTTAATTTTATAATCCATTCCTTTATTCCAGAATAGGTAGAACTTAGTGTTTTGAACTAATTCATCCCTAGTATGCCACCGTCCTATACCGGTGCATACAATTCACAAAACAAATCCAATAATTGATAAAACAGAATTTAATGGTTCATCAATTAAAATCCAGAATAAGCATAATAAAGATCTAATAAGCATATGACCCTATTATGCAACCACTACAGATTTAAAAATCATGTCCCAATTATTTAAATTGCTAAAATCAGATTAAGCAATTAAATCCGCTCTATCCGTTAACAGCATGCAAACTTATTTAAAGTTTCATACTGTTCAAATCATTAACATATAAATAAAAATTATGCATCATAGGGTTTTAATACACCATGAAATAATATTTAAAACCCTCATTAATATCCCAAAACAGTTCGGGAAACCAAAATCATCCAAACAGTGCCCAACTACCTCCAGTATGCATCAAAACAAGAGAGCCTGCTCTCAAAACTTGAGAGCAGGCTCAATCCACACATGGAGCCGGCTCCCTAGACCTTGGAGCCGGCTCTATACAAGAGGGAGCCAGCTCCCTAACCTATGGAGCCAGCTCCCTAACCTATGGAGCCAGCTCTTCAGTTGAGGGAGCCGACTCCCACTTCTATGGAGCTGGCTCTCTCCCTCTCTGAGAGCCCTGAACCCATTTCCTCCTATTCTACTCCTTCGTTCCCGTCTCCGGCAAGTATAAACACTTCTGTAACTTTTTAATAGGGTTCCTAGGAGTTCAATTTATGCCCGAATTTATTCCAGAACTATTAAAAACACAGTATGCTCCATAAACAACAATTCAGAGTACAAAGAACGAAACCATTTATGTGATAACCAATTTTAATTCATAGCAGACAATATAGTTAAAACTCTGAATTAATAAACATACAAGTTCCATTTTAAAGTTTGATTTAGTCCTAGAGATAATCTAAGCATGCACAGAACACGGGTCAAAGGAAAAGAGCAAGAAATAGAACTTGCCTCTGATTTCAGTTTTGAAACCTTAACGTCGTCTTCCTAATTTTTTCGGCAATCCAAGACTGTTCTCAAGTCCTCTACTGCTCCTGGTTCAACCCACAAGCAAGCGTCAAACACCTTTCCTTCGTTCAGCCCTTGCTCCTAGCCAAACCCTAATTCTCTCTCTCTCTGTTTCAACCTCAAACCTCTTTGTTCTTTCTCTCTGCTTCCACTGCTACGTGAATAGGGTTCTAAACCCTTGGCAGACTTATCAAGATATATATATAGGCAACGCTAATTAACCTAATTTTAATTATACCTAGAGAAGGAAAAAGAAAATAAAATAAACTAACTAAGTTGGCAATTTTTAATGAATATAAATAAAACCCTAAAACTTTATATTACAT